CAAAAGCGAATAGAATGTTATCATCACGGCTTTTATTCTAATCAACATTCAATTCATCATCAAAAACAATAAATATTATTATTCTTGCGGTGTTAATTTTTGTAAATACTGCAACTTGTATTAATAGTCATTTGAAAAAATTGTAGCCGCTTTTCTTCTCAGGCGGACTACTCACCGGCTGACCCAGTGGAGAGATTTATGAGATTACCTCAGGGCGCCTTCTAAGAGAACAGAAGTGTGTGCGTGTGGAAACCTACGGGATTCCTTAGAGGAAAACAACTTACACCTCAGTCATACATACATGTATATTTCAAAAAAAAAAAAAAAGTTACAATAGAAAAAATAAATAAATTAATCAGTGGGTACAAGAAAAACCGCAGCGGAGCGCGTCAGAGCCGAGCTGATGGTGCTCGGAGCCTCCTCGTCTTCACTCCAGGAGGTCACTTCCCCTTCCGCCCGAGTCGGCTATTTATATTAGATATTGAGAAAAGTTCACTATTGGTATTTATAAAGATAAATAGAAGTACGTAACCGCGGACAATGCGCGGACCGTACTTCTATTCCGCGGACCGTAAAAGCGGACAGCCGTACCCTTGGGTACGGCTGTCCGCTTGCTTCGTGAGCCGCGTGACTGCCAGCTTGCCAGAGGGTACCGAGAAACTTGAATTCGAACCAGAAGGCCACAAACGAACAAGCACGCCGTCTGAGACTGACCGTCTTGACCCCGAAATCTGGGACCCTACGAATGGATTAGCACTCATATTATTGATCAGGTTCCAGAAACAAATAGGTACAAGAAAAATTAAGACCATACTCACCACTTTCGTGGGTACTTTTGAACAGATAATATATTACGAAAATCAAATCACACGACAATCAAAACACTATTTAAGATTGGAAGACACGAGATAGCAGAGTGTCTCCCGTGGCTGAAAGCCGGACTTATATATGTTCGGTTTCCGAAGTTTCCAGAAATAATCTCTTCTTAACATTTTACTTTGACATTTAAATTATCAACGAGGTTAACACGAACAAAATCAAAAGTAACTCGCTTCCTACCATAACAAAACACTCTTAATACCTATACAATTTGTCATGATAAATTAATAAAAAGACTTATCTCAAACAAACGCCATCTAGTGGTCCGACGGCATACGAAGAAGATCAATACTGTAGTTATAAACTACTTTAGATAAATCAACAAATGCGACGGGGGGGCAATAGATGTCGCTTTTGGCAACTCCGTACGCAATACCAATATACTAAAAAATAACTGTTACAAAATTAGAAGTATTAACATCGAATGCAGTGTTTTCTTTAATTTCTTATACCGATTTTCTTATACTGTTGCAGAAATTGTCGTAAAAAAATATAAAATTTAAAAAGTCGTTAAAATGCTGTGCGATAGTTTTAGGGTTTGTTATGTTCTCATTGTTTACGCGAATCAAACTAATATTCGTTTTTGGAGTGTCCTGCCTTATACTGTTGACAACCTTCCAGGTTGCCTTAGATTTGTTACTACTTGTTTCAATATAGTAACTGTTCTGAGCCTTTTTTGTTAGCTTAACAACACGTTTGTATCGCTTGGTAAACGTTTCAAAGGCTGTTTTTGTGTCAATATTAGGAGTTAGTCTGTATTTCCAAAGCAAAGCTCGTCGTTTCCTGCTACAGCGTTTTATGCCGCGTGTTATCCATTTTTGATTACTCACTGTGGAAATTTTACAACTTGTTACAGGAAAACAAAGTTCATATAGTAGCTTAAAGAGGTCAAAAAAAATATTGTATTTATCATTCGGATTATTAGACTCGTAAACCTCAGCAAAACCAATACCTGCAATATGTTTAGCAAACAGATTCATGTTTGGGAGGGCGTAGTTTATACGAAAGGAAAGGAAGGAAAGTAGTGAGTAGCATTCAAAGGGAGAATAGACACATTATGAGACTAGACTGTACTGGTAAGGGAGGAAGAGCGATGGTCATTTTTTATCAGACATGTGTTAAAATCTCCCATGATGATATAGTGATGGTAAGTGGGTGGTTAAACAACTGAGCTGGAACTGGAACTGCCTTCTGCGTGTCACAATCAAGCCGATTAGCTAACTGAGAAAGACTATGCGATGCTGTGTCCCATTAGGGTCGAGGACATAGATCTGACCCTCTCGTGTCCAGCACTTGGAGACACCAAACCGCTCACGTGCAGCCATAAAAACCTCGTGTCTGGTTCTAGTAATGAATTCAGACAGAGTGACACCAGACCCCTTGAGTTTAGTTTTAGCAAACCATAATTTGTCCCGAACGGTTGTAAGTTGTAGTTTAACAAGTATAGTCTTGGTTTCTTAGCAGCAGTAGGTCTGCCCAGTATATTTGAGAGGAGATAACACTTCACTATTAGGTGTATTATATCAACATTTAAATTGTTATTTAAAAATGTTAATAACAATCACTTATATATTTAAATTAAAATAAAATGCAGACACTTAAAATTTTTGTTGTTGCTGTCTCAACTACCCACAAAATACATCTATATCTCCAAAGACTAAAGTACAAATTTGCAAGGAAACATACAGAGATATACGATTTTTAATATTAAGCATGAATCTGTTGAAACATCTACCTTGGAAATTCTTACGTTAAACTCTTACAAAATATTACACTATAGAATCGATTGTTTTAAATTAATTCATCTTCATAAAATGTGCTCCCTGTTTATCACAAAATCTAAAGTAAAAACATCAATTATATCTCATGATTGCTGTCTCTGTTGCAGAAATTGTCGTAAAAAAAATTTATATTTTTTTACGACAATTTCTGCAACAGTATAAGAAAATCGGTATAAGAAATTAAAGAAAACACTGCATTCGATGTTAATACTTCTAATTTTGTAACAGTTATTTTTTAGTATATTGGTATTGCGTACGGAGTTGCCAAAAGCGACATCTATTGCCCCCCCGTCGCATTTGTTGATTTATCTAAAGTAGTTTATAACTACAGTATTGATCTTCTTCGTATGCCGTCGGACCACTAGATGGCGTTTGTTTGAGATAAGTCTTTTTATTAATTTATCATGACAAATTGTATAGGTATTAAGAGTGTTTTGTTATGGTAGGAAGCGAGTTACTTTTGATTTTGTTCGTGTTAACCTCGTTGATAATTTAAATGTCAAAGTAAAATGTTAAGAAGAGATTATTTCTGGAAACTTCGGAAACCGAACATATATAAGTCCGGCTTTCAGCCACGGGAGACACTCTGCTATCTCGTGTCTTCCAATCTTAAATAGTGTTTTGATTGTCGTGTGATTTGATTTTCGTAATATATTATCTGTTCAAAAGTACCCACGAAAGTGGTGAGTATGGTCTTAATTTTTCTTGTACCTATTTGTTTCTGGAACCTGATCAATAATATGAGTGCTAATCCATTCGTAGGGTCCCAGATTTCGGGGTCAAGACGGTCAGTCTCAGACGGCGTGCTTGTTCGTTTGTGGCCTTCTGGTTCGAATTCAAGTTTCTCGGTACCCTCTGGCAAGCTGGCAGTCACGCGGCTCACGAAGCAAGCGGACAGCCGTACCCAAGGGTACGGCTGTCCGCTTTTACGGTCCGCGGAATAGAAGTACGGTCCGCGCATTGTCCGCGGTTACGTACTTCTATTTATCTTTATAAATACCAATAGTGAACTTTTCTCAATATCTAATATAAATAGCCGACTCGGGCGGAAGGGGAAGTGACCTCCTGGAGTGAAGACGAGGAGGCTCCGAGCACCATCAGCTCGGCTCTGACGCGCTCCGCTGCGGTTTTTCTTGTACCCACTGATTAATTTATTTATTTTTTCTATTGTAACTTTTTTTTTTTTTTTGAAATATACATGTATGTATGACTGAGGTGTAAGTTGTTTTCCTCTAAGGAATCCCGTAGGTTTCCACACGCACACACTTCTGTTCTCTTAGAAGGCGCCCTGAGGTAATCTCATAAATCTCTCCACTGGGTCAGCCGGTGAGTAGTCCGCCTGAGAAGAAAAGCGGCTACAATTTTTTCAAATGACTATTAATACAAGTTGCAGTATTTACAAAAATTAACACCGCAAGAATAATAATATTTATTGTTTTTGATGATGAATTGAATGTTGATTAGAATAAAAGCCGTGATGATAACATTCTATTCGCTTTTGCCAAAGACAGTGGCTCTACAATTGTCCTTATTAAAAGCATATTGATTGTCATAAAATACTGTACAATTCTTACCGGACCTCCTTTTCCGAATTAGTTTCATGTTTTAGAATTTTCTAACAAAACACACAGCATTTTTTTATTAACGCATGGCTACGGCGTAAAATTTTTCGTGGTGCACGTTACCACGAAAAATTTTACGCCGTTTATTCATGATTAAGTACTTCGTATTATTAGATAAACTTACGGGGACGTGGTATTCGGTGTTACACTTTTCTAAGTCCTGTAACTCACTTGGAACAAAAATCGAACTGTACCGCATTTGATCAACCTAGCTTGTTCTCAAAGATAAGTTCATGTGTGCTACGCCACTATAAGAGATCAGTACTATGACTTTAGAGTCTAGATAAGAGACGATTTCACAACATTTTTTTAATGAAATAAAGATATTTTGGGTTTGAGTTTGAAAAGTAAATGATTTTCAAATCCACTTTAAAAAGTTCACGATCCCAAAATAGTTTTTATCTTATTTAATGTTAAACATTAAACATATCTCCATTTGTTGCTTTTTCAGTATATAATTTAAATTAAAACTGTTTTGAAATAGGTTTTCACGTCTGTATGTAGATAACGCCTTCAATAAAAATACTGCCCAAATAATTTAATAATTATATATATTGTAGTATAAGGCAGTATTAAGTTCCGATATCTGTATTGTGAGGTCAGTCGAAAATACATTATCAGTGAGTACAAACGTGTTTTGTGAGATACGAGGCGGGTTTGCACGTTAGAAAAAAAAAATGTACAGGAACAATAATGTCGGTCGGTACAGTTTGCGAATATGATCTGGACGGTGAGCATGGTCTTCGTACGAAGACCACAAATGTACTTTCTAGTAAATGGAATCAAGACGGAGATGAAACTACCCACTTCAATTGCAGTAATTGGGGATGCAACTTACGAATTGCCTGCAAATTTAGTGAGCCCTAAGATACTAACACAATTGTCATATGTGAAGTTATTAAAAGATCATTTACAACCCGCACCATCAGAACGATTTGCTAACGTAAACGGACTCCGTAAATATCGCTATTTCTTTGGACACGGTCGCGGTTGAATCGACAGCGTCGATGGGCTTCGGAGGAGAAGGAACGGGAAGCGGCGGAACGGCGCAAGTGCGGGTACACGCACAGCGCGGGCGCTCTGGAGCAGCGCGGCCAGCCGGTTCACGCAGCAAAGAGGTACCGGCCTAGGTTTCGGCGACGGTGCCGGGAGAATATCTCAATGCCAAGGGTGCGGGGGAGGGGGCAGCACAGCTACGACACGTGTCATTTCCGGAGCTACGTGTGCCGCGCTACACCTTCGCCGGGCGTGCCCGCAGCACTCTTGGCGCGATAATATCGGCGGTTATCCACTGCGGTACTTGGGCGAGGACTCCCACGAGGACGAGAAAGAGCAGCCCTACGAGGAGCAAATCCATCATCTGTGTCTGAACTTTGAGTTTTGCCAATACAAATCTATGAACAGATTTAAGAAATGGAGGTAGATACGGTGTAAGGTTGGGTGTCGAGAGAGAAATTAAAGATGTTGTTAGATCAACGATCAGATTTATTCTCCAGTAAATATAATAGTGATCACTACTTTTATCTTAAGATAGACATACGTATTATATATGTATTACTACACTACACCCCCCTTCTTTTAAAATAAAATAAAATAATACAACATATTTATTTTATTTTCATTATAAAAATTCCTTAGATCTAAAAACACACAATATTTATGGTAAATAAAAAGGAAAAACAAAATTAAAGGTTATAAAACTAGGTAAATATTACAAATTTAAGCTCTATACAATTTGGTTCTATTTTTGTGAACTGTTTCAATTTTATTATCTCTAATTATTTTAACATTTGGTGACACATCTTCTAAAACTTTAAAAGGACCAATATAAACATTCTCAAATTTATTGTAATTTTCATTGCGTAATAAAATTAAATCAATAGGTTCGTAAATAGTTGGATTTATTTGCTTATCGTATTTATATTTATATTACGTTTTTCGGGCTACTTTTGACATTAACAAATTTTCCCTAGCTTGTACTTGAGATTTTTGAAGTCTATATTTCAAGGTTAATGGAAAATCATCACTATTGTACAGAGGTTCAACTTGTTGAGACAAATTTGTAGGTAATTTACACAGTTTTCCAAACACTAATTCGTATGGCGTAAATTTTGTAGATGTGTGTACAGGAGTATTATAACTAAAAGGCCAATAGGGAACCCAGGTGCTCCACTCTCTAGAACTATTATTAGTCTGTATCCGAAGATAAGCATTTAAATTTTTATGTGCATTTTCAAGCGCACCTATAGATTCATGATGGTAAGCGGTTGAAAATAATTGTTGAACACCAAGTAATTTACAAACATCACTCATTGTTGATGCTATGAACTCCGAACCCTTATATGAAGATTATACCTGAGAATGAAGTTTTCTACGAAAGATTTTACTACGATGACAGCGTCCTTACGATGTAAAGGATATGCTTCTACGAACTAAGTAAGTTCGCACTGAATAGTTAAAATATATACCTTACCATAATAATCCTTATCTAGGGGCCCCACTAAATCTAAAAATATCTTATCAAATGCGCCTGCGGCAGTGCTAGTAACCACCATAGGCTCTTTAACGGGCAAATAATGTTTTTGCATTTGGCATTTCTTTCATTTAGCTACAAAAGCAGTAACGTCACGTTCCATTCCAGGCCAAAAATAAGATTTTTTGATGTTATTTAACATTCTTCTTATTCCGGCATGACCACTAGTTGGTAGGATGTGATAGTCATTTATGATTACCTTTTTGTCATCATTAGAAATTATTCGCTTAACGCCCTTTAGGATATGTAGTCGTGGTCCGGACCATGGATTTTTATTATTTATTTCTTTTGACAACCAATTTACAAATTCATTACAACTTGCAAGTTTTATAATAAAGAGATCTTTTATACTCATTTTTTTACAATATTGCTCCAGTTCACTCACATATGCGTCTCGCGCGATACATGATCGGAAGTCTGGACAAGTATACAATCTCATTTCACTTTTATTATATAAAAATCTCTCTGGACTATTTAATTCACTATTCATAATATTCATTTTTCTCCGAGAAACTAATAACAATTCAACAGAATTTGACGGCTTTGTAAGCATTTCTACAACCTTCGGTTGATCAGGCCGAATGTTAGTGGTTGAGCTCGGCAAAGTTTGCAAATTTGGGTGAATTACTATCTGACCTTCCAGTTTCTTTCGTTGATTTCTTGTCATAACATTAATTATCCGTTCACTCATTTCTTTCAACTCTTCTGATGTAACTCGCATCCTAGATAATGTGTCTGCAGCAACATTGTCTTTACCTTTTATATACTCAATCACAAAATCATACTCTTCCAAAAGTAAACGAAATTTCGTCAATCGGCTTGAAGGATTGTTCATGTTAAATAAATATATTAAAGGGCGATGATCTGAGAAAATTGTAAACCTTTTCCCAAACAAATAAGGTCGGAAATATTTAATAGACCCAACAATAGCTAGCATTTCTTTTTCTATGGTTGCATAGTTTAATTCAGCTTTATTTAAGCTACGACTTGTATACGCTACTGGGCGACCATCCTTATTACATAAAACAGAACCTATTGCAGTTACTGATGCGTCTGTGTACAACTGAAATTTATTGTCATCCGAAAAATCTGGGTACTGCAATAAAGGTGGAGACACTAAGCTATTTTTTAATAATTCAAATGACTTGGCACATTCATGTGTCCAAATAAATTCGACATTTTTTCTTAATAATTTGTTTAAAGGAATTACTCTTTCAGCAAAATTTGGAATAAAACGGCGATAATAGTTTGAAAAAGCTACAAATCGTCTTACATCATCAGCATTTTTTGGTAGTGGATAATTTTCTATTATTTTTGTTTTTTCAGGGTCAGGTTTTACTCCATCCGCACTAACTACATGTCCTAAATACAATAACTCTTTAACTTAAAACTTACACTTACTGGGGTTCAATTTTTAATTAACTTTTCGTAATCTAGAAAAAATATCTATTAAATTTTTATTATGATTTTCTAAATTACGTCCAATGCAGACTAAATCATCCATATACAGACGCTGATAACGCTATAGACATTGCCCTTGAAAATGCGCTAGGGCTGGTCTTAAGACCCATTGGAATCCTTTTCATTTGATATTGCTTATCAAACGTGAAAGCAGTGCATTGTCTGCTGTTTGGATCTAAAACAAATTGATAGTAACTATTTTGCAGGTCAAGGTGACTGAACTAAATAGCACCTGATAGCGAATCTAGAATTTCAACTATGTTAGGGAGTGGGAAGCGGTCATCCACAATATTTTCGTTTAATTTTCGATAATCTACTACTAGTCTATACTTTTTTCTGTAGAATCTGTTTTTGAAACTCTCTTCTCTTGTTTTTGAATTTCTCCTCTTTGAGACTTTGGCAATCGGTATTGTTTTTTATAAACGGGCACAGTATTAGGTTTTAATATTATTGATTGCTGATAAATGTTACACGTTGTTAATCTATCACCTTCTAAATGAAAAACATCAGAAAATTTTGCACATATTTTCTCAATTTCTAACTGTTCTTCCTTATTTAAATAACTTAATTTTAACTCTTTCAATAACCTTTTCACTCTATCCGCATTGATGGTAGCCTTATCGAAAGAAAGTAATGAATAATCCTTCAAGTTTTCTACTTCAGGACAAAAAAAACTCAAACTAATAGTCTCCTCTCGCGTATTTAGTATTCGAATAGGTATTTTACCATTCTTGGGGCTTGCAATACAGCCAGCCATAAAAACACCTTCACATAATTGTTTAGGTAAAATCACGCATTCATCTTTCAAACTGGTCGATACAAAATGCAGTGATTCATATCTGGGCGATAAGTGAATAAATTTTTCTCCTCTCACACTTGGTTGTAAAGATAAACAAATTTCAGTGCCATTATTTAATACAGTTAAAATATCTAATTCTAAATTCAATTTAGCGTTATATTTCCTCAAAAAATCTAAACCTAAAATTCCATCAGTCACGCAACATAAATCTCGGAAAACATGAAACCTGTGTATAAATACTATGTCCTTAAATGATAATCTTAAATCAACAAAACCTACAGAGCAGAGTTCACCACACACTCCGTTTAACACTCCCTATTTGGAATGGAATGTTATTCTGATGCAATGTCTCATATTTAAGGGCGCTAAGTGACGCACCCGTATCAACTAACCAGTTATATGATCTGTTACCAAGTGACAAAGGAATAGAATTATAATTATTATAATAACAAATATTGACATGACAAAACGTTTTATAGCCATTTTCTCATTCAGTGGTTTAATTACGTCATAATTTTTTGTATCCCCATCGGCCTGCGAAATGGTCAAGTTAACAAATAAAGGACACCGACAGCTTTGTATGGGACTTGGGCCAAGGGGTGGACATTTTTATATTGAAATAAAAACGTTACTAGGTAGTAGCTGAAACTATGTAGAAACCAATAATATAATTAATTTAGTATCCAGGCCTATAAAAAAAAATACTTTGATTTTTGCAAACATTTAATTTCAATTGTCGTCACCATCACTTTCATACACAATCAAAATATTATCCAGAAACTGAGCTGGAGGAGTACATTCTCATACCTTGCCCAACTTAGATACCAGATTACAAACATAATGTGAGAGCAACAACCCACAGTTCTTCGACCAACAATGCAGTTACAGTAATACTCTTTAATTGCATTTAAATGCTCTATATTACTGTCAAATAATATATAAATAAAATATGTTTTCCTACTTATGTGTCAGCTTTGTATTTTGGCCCTTAATAATGTGCAATTGTCGGCTGAAGGAAGACTTGGCAAAAGGTTGCTGGCTCTTTCTATACAAACTTCGACTGTATATGAACCATCACTTCTTATGTGTTCTCCAAAATATGATCTAGCCTGTTTTATTTGATAAGTTCCACATGCTAACAAAACAAGTTCATTATATTCTAATCTTGGAAACATCAGATTATCCATACTGACATGAATGTCAAAGAATTGTGTCCGTCTCCTATTTAAATTATTTAATATGACATAATCAGCCATCATATTCTCCATATTTATTTTTTCTAGAATTCTGTTAAGTATCAAGCCTGCATCAGGTCTATCTGATATTATAGCGTGGAACCTATTTATCAAGGCAGCAGCTATTCTGAAATCTGATATTGCATGGGTTGAAGCAGTGTTAAAAAATTCACTTCGAAATAATTTATATGACATTTTGAAAATCCCATTCACTGCTTCAACCACCCATCTGCAAATAGTCACTGTT